TCTTCTGGTCTCTCGCCCTAGCTGTGCAGTCTTCCACAGTAGGCAGAGATTTGGAAGTCTGGCGATGTGGGCATTCTCGTTCCCCTAGCGTTTTCCAACGCAGCTCGAGTTCCTGAAGAGGAACTTACTGACACATTTAAAATTCCATGGTATTTGAAAACATATTTTTTTCTTTGAAAAAGATGGATACACTCATTTGTATTCAAGGTAAAAGGAAAATATGTCATCACTTTTCACTTGATGGTTAAACCACTAGACATTTCTAAAATACATTTAATCCATTTTATGCCTCAAAAAAAGCTATAACCATTCAAAAAACGAATGTTTGAAACCAACATGAATTCAAAATTAATTGGCGCAAATTTTCACAATCTCAGACATCATTATTTGTCCCTGAACTATTTTTTTGTTGTAAATATGAATATTATTTTACAGACAGACAAACACAGGTACTTTTTGCTCAGGTACTTAATAGCAGCACAAAGTATATGCAGAGGACACATACTGCATTTGTCCCTTCCAAAGTAAGTCTTAAAAATAAATCTTAAGAAGTGAATGTTATTGATTAAAATGACATGTCAGCCCTCATTCTCAAACCCAGTCATTCTAGCACAGAAAAAACAACATTTGCTCAAAGGTAAATTGATTTGAGCTCAATTAACATTAGGCTAATTAATTTATACATTGATTTAGGTCATAGCAGAGGAGACAGTAACTAAAGCGTACAACTAATGCTCTACCCTCTTTTTAATAAGTTACCGACTCTCAAGTAAACCTCTCTGATTAGTTTTAACTTTTCAAGTTTGTTTTGAGCTTTTCTATCAAGTAGTAGCACAATATGCTGTTTTAGTTAACAACAGTTCTTCTCTTATGATTATTTATAGAACTTTATGACAAACAGCTACATCTGTTGCTTACCAGGCATGCATATGCATAATTGGGCACATTACATGAGATGCATGCTGGTTATTTATTGGTGGCCATCTGACAAACCATTTCCATTTCTGACTATCTTAAAGGGATAGTTCACCCGAAAATGAAAATTCTGTCATTAATTACTCACCCTCGTGTTGTTCCAAGCCCGTAAGACCTTCGTTCGTCTTCGGAACACAAATTAAGATATTTTTGATGAAATCTGAGGGCTCTCTGACCCTCTCATAGACAGCAAGGGAACTACCATGTTCAAGGTCCAGAAAAGTACCAAGATGATCGACAAAGTAGTCCATGTGACATCAGT